CCCCCCCTCCAAAATAAAAGGTAGTTTCGGTAACATGTTCAATTTACAACGTACAGAGCAAAAACATATAAAACTTAAAAGCTAACGGGTAATTTTGAAATAAAAGGAAACGCCAGGAACCGTTTGATACGCGGAGCAAAGAACAGTGCAAGCGGTTGCAACACTGCCGATACGCTTGTCGGTAGTCAGCGTCAGCAGAGCAGTGGGGAGGCACGTTAGCCTTTTGCTAACACAGTTCAGCAACTAACTATTGGTACCAGAAGTTTCACGATTCCGATAGGTACATTGTATAAGTTTATCTGTTGACTCTCATTAAAACTAACACATATACTAATACCGAACCATTATGTACGGTCTAAAGTCTGCTGTCTGCAATTATTCGCAGTTGGTCAGCAAGGTTGGCTCCTTTTTCGTTTTTTTTTTCTGTTCTTTCTTTTTTCTAGGGCTTATTTCGCCTTCTGTGGTCGTTACGAAGTACCTCGCTACGTTAATTAATTGTAGTATCAAGTTAATTGTGGTGGTACTAAATTTTGAACAAATAACGTTAGGCGGTACTTTTTTTTAATGAGGGAACTGAGAGGTTTGGTTACGAATTTATAATTAATCTGTTAGTGTTAATAAAGCGTTGTGTAAAAAGTGTGAAAGCCTACTTTACCGTTTTATGTTTTCACCAGCAAGCATCTTTTGTGTTGAACATTTTTTCCCGACGTTCTGTATTTATTCTCACTCACTGCATGATGATATTCGTCCGTGACGCGTAAAAATATTATAGAATGTGACCAGGATTATCCCACAGCTAGAAAAAGTATTAGGTGCTGGGAGTGTTAAGACATCTGAAGCAGTTAGACAGCAGCATTCACATGACGAAGGCCACTTTTCGTACGTTTTAAATAAAGTCAATTAAAAGCTATTTATGTTGTAAATTTTGCTGTAGTTATCATAAGTCTTCAGTTGCTTTTAGTGTCTTAAATCTCAAGATAGAAATAGTCAGGGATTTCTTCCAGTAGCAATTTTAAAATGCATTTAAAAAAGTTTGTAGTAATTTTTAATGCATCGGTATTGGTGAACGAAAAGGGAATTGTTCCAGAAATGAAGCTTAGTACAATATAATTTTAGAGGAAATCTCCCGGATGTTGTTGTTCAACCAAAAAGTGCTCAAGAAGTGAGTGAAATACTAAAAATCTGTAATGAAAACCGCATTCCAGTGATACCATTTGGAACAGGAACAGGCCTTGAAGGCGGAGTCAATGCAATTGTGGTACGTTTATTATTTGGTAGTGAAGAAATAAAATGTTTTCAGTTTTTATCATTCAAACATGCTTGCATATCTCAATCTTTTTTTGAAGGGTGGCGTTACAGTTGATTTAATGTCAATGGATAAAATTACTGCTGTCAACTGTGAAGACTTTACCTCTTCTGTACAACCTGGAGTTACCCGAAAAACCTTGAATACACATTTGAGAAATACTGGACTTTGGTTTGCAGTGGGTAAATTAATAAGAAAAATACTCTATTATTGTTGAAATTCGTTTGCAGCACATTAATATTTCCTAAAAGCTTTTCTAGCGACAATTACTTCATTTTGTAAAGGCTTAGTCTTATGATTTCTTTAGATCCTGGGGCAGATGCTTCTATATGTGGAATGGCTGCCACTTGCGCAAGCGGAACAAATGCAGTGCGGTACGGAACTATGTTACAAAATACTGTAAATTTAGAGGTTAATATAATTTAACTTATAGCAATAACAAGACTTAGTGTTACTGGTCTGTCTAACTGGTTTTCAATTTTTTGCGAATTATATTCTTTTTTCAGGTTGTCTTGCCGGACGGTGATATCTTGAATACAAGAGGAAGAAGTAGAAGACCACGGTATTTTGTTTCTAATTAAGAAAATCAGGTATATTGAATAGTTTTTGTAGATGCCTCATTTCTGAACACCATCGAGACTGTTTAAGGAAATCTTCTGCGGGTTATAACTTAACCGAGTTGTTTGTTGGTTCGGAAGGTACCTTGGCTGTTATAACGGAGGCAACGGTTCGTCTTCATGCTATGCCGTCTTTTATCAGCGCAGCGGTTTGTAGTTTCCCAGATATTCACAAAGGAGTAAATGCGGTTGTTGCTGTGTTACAGTGTTCCATACCGGTGGCTAGAATTGGTACTTATGACAATTCCACTTGCGTAGCTCTTTAACCTTTATTTGTACTTTTATTTTTTTCTACTGTACAGTCAAAGGATACTGTTTTACACTGTTATGTCAAAAAATGATTTGGGAAGAAATTCAGAATTTATGGATCAGCTCCAAGTAGCTGCTTGTAACAAGTTCAGTAATCTTACGCTTCCGGAACTACCATCGATATTTCTTGAATTTCATGGTTGCACAGAGGAGGAGGTTAAAAATCAAGCGGAATTAGTTGGTGAGACATTATTGGAGAACACTGGATTAATAATTATTTATTGTTTTGATTTAATAATTTGGCTAAATTGTTCTTTCAATTGAGAAGTTTTATTTTTTATATAATTGCTGTTTCATGATTGCTTTTAATGAGGCACAGTTTAATTTGGAAACTACTGAAATTTCCGATTTTCTAAGTCAGTATTTCGTTTTTGATGTGATTGAAGATTTAATTTATAATTATTGTACTTGATTAAACAGTAATTATGAGTCTATTATTTAATGCTTCTGCAGTTTCAAAGTTTCTTGTAATACTTCTACTGTTACATTAACATGTTCTCAAACTAGTTTGAAGAATTTTTTTAAGGAAATATATGTCAAGAATACAGTGGGAGCGATTTTTCATGGTCCCATCTTCCAGAAGAACGGGAAAAGCTATGGAAAGCTCGACATAATGCTTATTATGCTGCAGTGGCTACAAGGAAAAATTCACGCGTCTGTTATTTTGAAAAATTCTTCGTTTTATTCTCATTATAGGTCACAGAGTAACGCGGGCAAATTAAAACAGAAAAGATAGCATTTCAGCCAGTAGTTGAACATTTTGGTTGTATAACTTCTGTACAGACGTTTCTTAATATAAATACACCAGTTTTACTGGTGCTTGGAATTAAAGGTTAATTCTGAGTTTGACGACAAATGAGAAATTTTAGGAGTTATTTTTGGTCAAAACGGAATGCTTGTTTCTGTTACAATTAGAATTTTGATGTGTACAAAATGTGTTACAAAAACGCTTATGTTTTAACTTTGAAGTAAGTTGTGGCTCTTGGAACACATAAAATACAGACAGGAAAGAAGGATATGAAATGTCGCAACTAACTTTCAAAGTATCAAATTTACTCGTGAGGTCCGTTATGATTCAAGTATTACTTTCAGGGCTTTTGTACAGATGTTTGTGTTCCTGTTTCGAAACTGGCTGATGTGGTTACAGAAACCAGGAAAGATATAGATAGTTCTGGGATTTTTGGTGCTGTTTTTTAATATAGCAGTTCTGAGTCATAAAAATTTATTTCTGCTTTCGTTTTATTCTCTTTTTAAGCTGCTGTTAATTGAGTTTTTTGAGTATTGCATTTTAAATGTTTCTTATGCTTTAGGAACTATCGTTGGGCATGTAGGGGATGGGAACTTCCATTGTGTTTTCCCCGTAGATGAGGACAATAAGGACGAGATGTCAGTCGTTTGGGGATTGTCAAACCGACTTGTTGAGTGAGTTCTTTTTGCTTATCAAGCGCTTCTTCTTAAGGATTCTATTGGAAATGAGAGGTGTGGTTTGTTAGTGTTATTTTTAAATGCAATTATTTATCGTTTTAGTAGATTAATTTTATTTTATAGACGAGCATTGGCTGTAGGAGGGACCTGCACGGGAGAGCATGGAATAGGTCTGGGAAAACGAAGCTATTTGAAGAAAGAGTTTGGAGACATTGGTTTGAAAGTTATGCTGAATGTTAAAAAAGCTATTGATCCGAATGGAATTATGAATCCCGGCAAAGTCTTCCTATAACGATTTT